GCCCGCGTGGCCCCCAGAGCCCCAAGGTGGGGGAGGCGGGAGGGGACTAGTGAGGGGCAGAGCCATTGGGTTGGTCGATTTGTGTGACCTGATCTGAAGTCTGCCTGTCCCCAGCCCGGCTGTTAGCTCTGCCCCTACCCAGCCCCCAGCTCTGCCCTTCAGGGCCTGTCTGCTCCCTGGGGCTGCAGTAGGGTCATTCCACCTCCAGTAAGTGTAGCTGCAGGGAGGGAGGGGAAGGAACTTCCAGGGATCACAGAGATGAGGAGCCAGGATCTGGGTACAGGGGAGTCCTTCAGGGACACAGAGACTGGGGTGTGTGAGGCCAGAGGGGCTGGTGTCAAGGAGACAGTCTGAGCTCGGTGTCTGTGTCCCCCACCCAGATCCAGGGTCGGATTCTCTCCCCAGGGAGGGAGCCCGGCGGGAAAGTGAAGATCGGGGCCTCGGTTCCAGCATCGATAAATGTCACCTGCCCCCAGTCACAGTCCAGACAAACCCGGATCCTGTTGGGGGGGCTCTGGGGCAGGGGGGTCTCCGGGTCAATGAGAGCCCGGAACTGATCCCACCAACACTGCACAGCCCAGATCCCGCCCTTGGGTCTCAGGCTGATCCCTCCCTTCCTGCTCACAGACTCTCTGGCCACTCCCACAGCCCATCGCCTACCCCACACCTCCACCTCCCAGTAATGTCTCCCTGAAGTGAAGCCCTCACGGCCGAGCACACAGGGCCAACAGTCAAATCTCTCCGGGGTGTCGGGCCATGGCTGCCATGTGTGTGTCCATCTCACATATTTCCCATCCTCCGACAGGACAAACTGGGGATGCGCCGTGGCTGGATCCAGAGTCACGTTGGCTGGGGGAGAATCAGAGCGTGAGGGGCAGAGCTCGGCCCTGGGGGGTCGATGGCATCAGGGACAGAATCTGCCCCAGCTGGGCAGTGACTCAGGGACTCTCCTGCCTCCAGGGGCGCCCGGCTCTGAGTGGGGAGCAGCCCTGAGGTCTCAGCCCAGCCCAAGGAGCAGCTCGCTCCCCGGCATGGAGGGGCCGTGGCAGAGAGAAGCGATCAGAGGGGTACAGCTGGTTCGGATTAGAAGCCTAATCCAAACTAGCTACTCCATGCCACGTGTAGCCGCGCAGCACGGGGTTCAAACTAGCCGGGGTTTAAAAATGGTGGCTCCCAGTTTATGCAAATGAAGCCGGGAAATTCAAATCCCAGGCTTCATTTTCAAGTGCGGTATGCCTACATTACCCTCCTAGTTCGAATTAGGAGGGTGGTGTAGACATACCCTTAGACACCCCACGCCAGAGAACAAGGTGAGACCAAGGCTGAGAGGACACAGGGAGGGGTGAGGCCGAGGGTTTTGGATACTGGACGGGGGGGTACAAGCTGAGGCAGGGAGTTGAGGTGCTGGAGAGGCTGAGGTCTCCGGGGGAGCCTTGGGGATAAGGGGCTCTGGGCAGGGGGTTGGGCTCTGGGCTGGTGCTGTGGGCTATGGGGCGGCTCAGGAGGAGGAGTCTGGGGGCAGGAGGTGGCCCCCAGGGTGGAGGAGGCTCTGGGAGGGGCAGTTTGTGGGGCTCTGAGGGGGGCAAGGGGCCCGAGGCAGCTCACCTGGTCTGTATGCTCCTCGGGGTTCCCCACTTTGAGACTCCAGTGCGGCCGGCAGAGTGTCTGGGGGAGGAGAGGGGGAGATTCAGGTTTGCACGGGGAGCCCAGAGCCGGGTTGTCGTGTCACAGACACACTCAGGCCTTGTTCACGTCCGGCCTTTTGTTGGTGCCTATGCCCAGGCCCTGCAGAGCCTTTGGAATCAAAGCTGATTTCGGCACTTGGGTCCCTTGGTGCTAACGGGATGTTCGGAGAGTGTGAGATCCTGGCTCTCGCTGGGAGCTGTTTATCCCTGGGGAAACTGAGGCAGGGGAGGTGGGCTCCATGAGACAGATTCACCCTGTGCCGGCAGAGCAGGGTGGGGAGGCCACTTGTGACCCGCTGCTCAGTGGCTGCAGGGGCCGGGGCCGGGCTTGGCTCAGGCTCAGGCAGAGTCACATCCCAGTTACAATGCCTGGGCCAGGGCACAGAGAGCCAGAGGCCCAGTGTTACACTGCCCACGTCCCTCTGTCCATCCCCCCCACCTTGTCCCCCCACCTTCGACCCCGCACTCCGCAGCCCTCTCAGGGACAGGCCTGTGCTGTAGGGTGGGGAGGCCCACGTCCCTCTGTCCTTCCTCCCACTGCCTCATCCCTCCCTCAACTACCCCCGCCCCCATCTCTAGCTCTCCCAG